TAATAAGCAGCTGTCTTGCCATTGAAGACAGGCTTATGACATAAGGCTTATAATATTTCTTCTATTATTTATAAGCCTGTCGTTAATGGCAAGATAGCTACTTATCATCCAGCCTAAGAAGATAGAAGGAGGAGGGGAGGAGATGAGGCCGTGTGGAGGGAGGGTAATTGGTGGGACCTCACCTATGGTGCATATTGCAAGGGTACATGTTAAATCTATTAAGAGTAGAGTATAAATGTCTTAACACAACAATTAAGTGAGGTGAAGGCTATGTTAACTAGTTTGATGTAAACATTCCAAACTGTATATAAAATCAGCACATTGTTCCCCATAAATGCACACAGTTCTGATTTAATAAAAAAAAAAAATGTTAATAGAAAAGAAAAAGACAGACTTATATAGGTGGTTTTGATCCTGTTGATGATTCTGCCCTTGAGATATTTTACTCAGGATCTGAGGCCTGAAGTTTATTCCCCTTGCTTTCTGTCTAGGAGATCACTGAGGCTGTAGAAGCAGATTCTAAAAGGCCGTTTTAGTCAATAGATCTAGTGATTTATTGTAAAAGATTTTCTTTCTGTGGGCTTATTTCCTTTTAGATATTGTGAAAACAGTGTCCTCATAGGGTGTTCTTAGGTAGAGGAAGAAAAAGAAAGAAAAAGAGAAACAGAGAGAGCTCATAATTGATTTTAGCCTTTGCCAAGAAACTATGAATGAATATTTTTTTCTATCATTTTTCTAGTCAGATCAATCATCCTTTTAATTATTATTATATTTAAAAATGAGGCCAGAATCTTTTTGGTTGCATTTAATCATAGATTTTTTTCAATATGGTACTCCACATCAGACTGTTTCTTTCATTTCTCAAAGACTTGTTTAAATCCAGTATACTGAGGGAAATATGTGAGATTTAAAATAGTGTACAGTCAAAGATGGAACTGGGTGAGGGCAGGAAATGAGAAAAGCATGGCAGGAGGATGGAAACGTGATAATAGCAATCAGAGTTGTCTCACTGCTATCATGTGAAGCCTCATGACTTGCACTAATTCAGGGAGTTAAAATGTGTCAATTAATAGAAACACTTGATAATTGCAGAAAGAATAGGTTAGGAAAGATGGGAATCAGTTTCTCTTTGGGGTTTCTCCTGACTGTTGACATTATACAAGGGTATAGTGTCCCCTAAAGGGTAGACCTTCTCTTCAGGAACAGTTGTTTTTAGAAGTTTTATGGATTTTGCCTTGGTGACATCTAGCTATAAGCATAGACAATGAGCAGGCTCTTGAGTCATAGCTCCATTTGAAAACAAAGGTGGAAGAGCTCAGCCCATACTAATTAGTATTTCATGTGAACACAATTGGAGCCCTCTGGGGTTGGTAGAGTCCCAGAGTGAGAGAAAGTGAGGATGTTTCATTTTGATGAGAGTCCTTATAGAAAAGCTTTTATAAAACATGACAAAAAGGGGATTTCTTATTTTGTAAGGATGTGGGCAAGAGGGAGTGCATCTCTACCCAAATTTCCTAACTTTTGTGTATGATGTTTGATACAGAGAAAAGGTAAGACTGTATTTATTAGGTTATACCCTGCCCTAATAGTAAATGGAAAGGGAATAGAAAATGACAAATCATAATCCCCTTATAGGAAATAGTATGATATTGGCACTAAGGAGACCAAAGAGTGTATAATGAGGTCCAAATATCATAGTCAAAGGAAGCAATATGTTGGAGGAATTGTCAATTATACTAATTTATACTTTTTATAGTGAAAAGGTAGAGACTGAGATGGAGAATATAGTCATGCAACATGGAGAAACATTTTATGGTTCCTATATGCAAGATGTGTGACTGAGGACCTAGTTTATTTTGTGAGTTTAGAGGATCTATTTTTGAGACAATAAAAAAGGAGGTTCTTGTTTATCTATCTTATTCAATTTACATGATTCATGAACCCATGAGGGGAGGGAACAGATCAGGATAGACTTGGAATAGAATTTAGATCAAGAATGCATTAAGTAGGTCATAATTCCAACATAGAGTTTGTTAGATTCGTAGGGTGACTTTAGTTAACAATAGTTTTTTTTTTGTTACATTTCAAAATAACTAAAGATAATAATTTGAATGTTCCTAACATAAAGAAATTGTGATAGATAAATCAGTTGCCCTAATTTGATCTTTACACATTATATAAATGTATCAAATCATCACATGTGCACAGAAAATATAACACCTATTATGTATCCCCAAAGAACTACCCAGTAAAGACTCAGAATTTGTCCACTGGTCCTCTCATCAAAGAGGAAGGTTAAGAGAAGCAGGGTTGGGATTTGACACTCTAGATCTCTTCCTCCTCCATGACTGTAGATGTCCTTGAATCTCCAGGTGGGAAATGAGAAATTGGAAGTGCTCATCTGTCCCGTTCTAGGTATTCTTCCATTTGATTTTGTTCTTCCAGGTTTCAGTTTGGTTTACTGTCTTGTGTCAGGTACTATCTTTCTGTGTTTGGGTCTTTGTAATCTCTCCTAAAAGAATTTCTCCTCTCTGTCTTTCCCTAGCATCAGCATCCTTTGTTCCTCAAAGTTGCCTGAACAGGATCCACAGACCTTGGATTCTATTAGGAGCAATGTTGAGATAATTGGGAAATAGGGCAGGTACAGCAATGAATCCTTGAAGAAACCAGCCACAACTACTACCACGCCAATCATTCTTATTGCATATAATTACTTTAAGAGTAAAGTTTTACCTTGTTTAGAAGAAAATGGAATATCTATGTTATTACATTTCTATCCTCATAATGGACAAATCTTTGCCACATTTTCTTTCTTGAAGAAGGTTGTCTTTCACTCTTTCCCTAGGAAAAGACTTACTTCATCTCTCTTCCTTCCTGTTTCTTTTTCATTTTCTTCTGTACATCCATGTCAACAACTGTATGTGGCTATATCTTGAATGAGTAATGGGATCATAATGGCACACAGTTTAAGCTACAACGACTGAAACAAAGGATAGAGGAAGAGATAGAGAAAAAAGAACAGAAACAATCTGTGTATGATCTTTATTTTATTTTATCTTTAGAGTAAAGAACCAGGAGATATGTCCTTAAAATAGAGTTTTGATTCTTTACTGAAGACAATTTGCTTTTCAAGCATCCCATAATAGTGACTATTTTCATAATTGGTATACTTTCTGAATTTGATGTAATTTATGTCTTTTTCTTCTAGAAAATCAAGAAAGAATCAAACCAAAGTAATAACCTAGCATTAGCTAGAAAGTTGCCATTTAATACTTTTTATCTACTTGTTATTTATCACATTACATTTCTATCTCATTATGAAAGTGCTATATATTTATTCTAGAAAATGTAAGTCACAAAAGATAAAATGTATAAATAAAACCCTATAGAAATTTCTCATCCAGAAATTATCCTTCAGTGTTGTGGTATATTTTCCTCTGGTCACTTTAATGCATATCTGGTAAACTATAATCATACTGTACATATTACTTTTTATTAGACATCTATTTGTTCTGATGCGTAGGGCAATGTCTTTGTTTTTTGCCAGTTAGGAACAGTCTGCTAGCTGGAGGCTTTGTTTAGTACTTTAACATGTGGACCTAAACCACAAGGTAGTTTTCTTCATAAAATGTGCAAACCCATATAATGTTTTGCAACTTAATCATGGCTATGCTACCCTATCCTCTTTGTCTTATCCTGCTGGTTAATACTATATGGGGTGGGAATCATTGGAAGCTAAGTGAGTCTTCCTGCCATATAAGCAAAAGATAGAATGCCTGATAACAGTGATGGTAAAAAAAAATGTGCATGTGCATGTGTTAATGGATGTATATATGCATTCACATGGAAATATGTATGTCTGTATACATACATACATATGAGAAAATGTATCAGAAACTAGAAGTATATAAAGGAAGTATGATTTAGAAGAGTTGATGAAATATGGAACAGAATCCTTATTTTATATGAATTTTAGGAATATTCTTCTTTGTGGAGTAGAGCAGTGGATGTATTGAAGACTAAATACAACCATTCATGTTGCTACCATAGATAATATTTACATAATTATAATAATATGAATGTTCTTTATGGATTTTGACATTTTACTTGGAAGACTTAAAACTATGGTTACAACTCAAAATTCATGTTTTCGGTCTTGATGTTATACAAGTGAGGGTACAGGTTTCTGAAGTTTGGGCAAGGTAAGAGGGGTAGTAAGAGGAGAGCTGAAGCTTAAAGCTGGTGAAATGAGAAATACAGATTTAACTATACCATTTAAAAGCAGAAAATTAATTAAAGAACTATAATAATCATCAACATTTGGGGCCAGGAAGAGAAAAGAGTAAGGATAATGTGATCAAGATGAAACGTCATCTTTCAGAGTAGAGAGCCAAAAGATAGCTTAAAATTGATCATTGCTAAACTATGAACATGATCCATAGCAAGTGGCATATCATTTGGAGGCACAGAAGTATGAAATACCAGAAGAGCTAAAATTAGCTTGATAGGCAAGCAATGGGGAAGGGACCTCCACTTTTTATTATATATTCTCCTATACATATCCTCTACTATTTTAAAATTATTTTCTCACATTCATCAGAGTATTTCATCAATTATTTTTATTTGTGTAGCAGTCTCAAAAGTTACCTCTTTGGTGTACCCTGTTGATCTATTGGGAAAACCTGAGCTGAAGAGACATGAGAATTCCCTCCACTGGCAAATTATAGTATTCATTAAAAAGTAATAATTAATAGAATCAATGATTATATTAAGCATTTCTACTCACATCCTAGATAGGTTAGGTTGAATTAATGGAATATGGACACCCCTACCAAAGAACAAAGTTGAGCTTTTTCACATATAGTAAAGACCACATCCTCCCTCCAGTCGTGCATCTAAGATGTAGGTACTGTAAGGTCTGGTTAAGCCTTGACATCTTTCTCTTCTCTTTCCACCCATGATCTTCCTTCCCTCTTTGCAGGTGATGTAGACTATGTGCTATGGACACTAGAAACAGGACAGAAGTGACTGAATTTGTCTTGTTGGGCTTGTCCAGCTGGCCAGAAGTACAGCCAGTTATTTTTGGTATTGTCCTAGCCATGTACCTGGTTGCAGTTATGGGCAACATGCTATTAGTAATTGTTGCTCACTCAGACCCCAAGCTTCAGACCCCTATGTATTTCCTGCTCAGCCAGCTTTCTTTTATTGACATATTTCTGACAACCATTACTGTTCCTCAGATGCTGGTGCACACACTCTCTGTGCATCGAACCATCTCATATAACTGCTGCATAATCCAGTTGTTCTTCTTCATGGCTGTGGGTAGCATGGAAGGCCACTTGCTAGCTGCCATGGCTTATGACCGCTACATTGCCATCTGTGACCCCTTAAGATACTTCACTATTGTCACCCATCGCCTCTGTCTGCGCATAACATTGACTTCATGGGTAGTTGTCAGCCTCAACAGCCTCCTTTATAGTGTGTTGGTCACCCGCTTAACCTTCTGTGGCAACCAGGTTACTCACTTCTTCTGTGACATCACTCCCCTGCTGCAGCTCTCCTGCACCAGGCCAGTGGTCAATGAGATGCTAATATTCACTGAAGGTGTGGCTGTGGTGGTCAGCCCCTTCTTCTTCATTTTGAGTTCCTATGCCCGCATTGGTGTTGCTGTAGCCCGCATGCACTCAGTCGCTGCCCTGCGCAAAGCTCTGTCCACTTGTAGCTCCCACATCCTGGTTGTGCTACTCCTGTATGGCTCTGTGATCCGCATGTACCTCCGACCATCCTCCAGCTATGACTTGGACCAGGATCGGCAAGTCGCCATCTTCTACACAGTAGTTACCCCTATGCTAAATCCACTGATCTATAGCCTCAGGAACCAGGAGGTTAAAGGAGCTCTTCGAAGGCTTTTGAGGAAATACTATGTCTCAAGAAACTTCTAGTGTGGCTCCTACGAAAACAGGCAATGGCAGCACGTCTCCTGAGACCACAGAGTTAAGACCTAACCTGGAAATACCTCAAACTGATGGGGTATACTGCTACTAACTCATATGAATCACATTCCTGTGAATAGTCTTCCCTGTTGGCTCTCTTCAGATCTGGGAAAATGTGAATTCATGAATAAATGGTTCTGGTCTCTGTTGACTGACCTAGAATCTCATTACACTGAATCTGAAAAGATATTTTTAAATCACTAAACCTGAACCTCTCATCTTTCAGGTCTGGAGCATAGAGGACTATTAAACAAAATGATAACAAATCAATATAGCTTGCATAACTTTGATCATTTCAGTAATGGTGTAGCATGTACTGTCTAACACAAAGAAATCAAAGTGAATTACGATACCATTATTACAGAAGAGCAAGTTTTGAATAAACCATCATATAGCCTAAGCCTCTGTTAAAATTGTAATATTTTCACAGTCTCACTTTAGCAAGCTCTCAATTCATAATAATAATAGTTCTATATATATAGTGACTGGATTATTCCATCTATACCTTTTTCTACCATCCCAAAGAAGAAGTCTCGGTCACTAATAACGGAGACTGGAGGAAAGTCTGCATAGTGGTCTAACACCAGGAGCAGGTGGTCAGATTTGGGTTTATGGGAAAGAGAATTATTTAGAAGATGTTTTAGATGTAATGTTTAAGGGAAAAGGAATAATCAAGAATTGCCTGTGAAAATCTGTGGAATCATTATGCCATTTCCTTATCTGTGGAAATCTTTGAATGTTAAATGCATGCAGATTTGGTTGGGGAGCAAAAATCAGTAACTTTTTGTGCCCAAATTAACTTTGTGGCATGTGTTAGGTATCCAAATGGAGTTGTCCAGAGACAGTTAAGTACATATTTCTTAGGTACAAGGAGAGATCCTATCAGGTCATAGAAATGTCAGAGCAGTAAAATGTAGACAATCCTTGAAACTTTGTAACTAGATAAAATCACCTAGTAAGAGAGTATAGAAAAGAGAAGAGAACTATAGGCAGAGCCCTGAGATGGGTAGGTACCGCAACATTTGCAGGTCTGAGAGAGGAAATAGCTAAGAAAATTGAGAAATGTCCATTGGTAGGAGGGGAGTAGGTAAATTTGGTACATCAGAATCCTAAAAAAGAGTATTTCCAGGCTGGAAGAGCTATCATTCTCTTAAATGTGTTGAGAGGTCATTAATGAGAACAGATAATTATTATTAAATTTAGTAAAATGTAGATTATTGGAAGCTTTAATAAGAGCAGTTAAAGGAAGTATAGGAGAAAAATTCCAATTATAGTCATTTTATGACAAAATTGCAAGAGAGAAGTGGAGGTTGTGATTCTAGACACTTTTTAAGTGTAGTTTTTTCTTCCTTAGGAGGTAGACACAAAGTTCTGCCTAACTTTATTTTTTTTTTTTTTGCGACAGAGTCTCAAGCTGTCGCCCTGGGTAGAGTGCCATGGTGTTATAGCTCACAGCAACCTCAAACTCTTGGGCTTATGTGATTCTCTTGCCTCAGCATCCCAAGTAACTGGGAATACAGGTGCCTGCCACAATGCCCGGCTATTTTTTGGTTGTAGTTGTCATTGTTGTTTGGCATGCCTGGGGTGGATTCAAACCTGTCAGCTCCGGTATATGTGGCTGGTGCCTTAGCTGCTTGAGCTACACACGCTGAACCTAGTTCTGCATAACTTGAGGAGACCAGGTGAGTCAAGAGATAAAATTTCTTATAATTTTTGTAAGAGTAGTGCCATTAAGCATGTTTGATTGATTATGGAATTGAGCTAATTTTTGTAGAAAATGAAACATTATTATACAAAATGAAAGTAATTAATTGCAAGAACAAAGTACTTGAAAGGGCATGCACATCTACTGTGGGATGATTTTATCTAGGAGTTGAACCACCTCTTTCCCAAAAGGAAGTCAAAGTATGTGAACTCAAATGTAGGTGGGCTAGTGGAGTTGATGGTGAAAGAAGATACATACTTGAAGAAACTTCAACTGAGAGTGGTTGGGAGCAGGATTGTTTCAGAAAATTGTAGGAAGAGAATATGTAAAATAATCATTCTGGATTTAGAAAGTAAAGTACTAGGGAATGTTGTAGGATTATCTGCCAATGTTGAGAATCCATTTGGATATTTTGTTCTCAAGTTTGATATTAGTTAAATCAACATGGTTGGGTGATCTTCTCCAACAATATTGAGGTACTTATGCACTAACATAAATGAATAAATACTCATGCACTGACAAATATTAACTTTGCCAAGGGCTGACATTTTTCTCAGTAGTACAAAAGGAAACAGAAGAATTAAGAATGTTTGCAAGAAGTTATTTATAGTTGTTGGGGTGGGAATGAAGAGCATGAATTAGGTGAGAGATAATGAAAAACAATGTGAGGAAATAACAGATTTCAATAATGCATGGAAATATTGGAGTTTGAAAACTAAATTAAATAAGGTGAAAATAGAAACTGATAGGAAGTTCAATGTTTAAAATTCACATTGTGCCTGTAGATTAAAATTAAGACTTCACAGATGATGTAATTATTGGTGATGACAACAACTCAGATATGACCATATGAGTGGATGATCAAGATGGGAGTAATACAAGGGATTGTTGAAGTTATAGAGATCCTGAACTGAAGCTTCAAGGTGTGTGTCAGATAGATCATTTATGTTGATATTTTAAAAAATGATCATTGAAGAATGGTGAAAAGAAATAATCAGATACTGAAGTCATCAATGAATGAGGGCGAACCATTAGAGAACTGATAGATTATGGCAACAAGAATAGAAAAGTCTGCTTGAAAGAACTGCAAAGAAATTTTGAAATTTTGGAGATGTGAGGAACAAGGATCTTATACAGGATGAAAACCAAGAACTGGAAAGCCATAGGATCCAAAATAGATCTTCTTTCCATTAGTCTGGAATTACTTTGTTTCTTGATATTACTTCTCTTTGCAAATCAAATTCATGTCTTTCCGCAGGCCAGCTTTTTCTCTTCCTCTCTCTGCTTTGCTGCCCCAGAGAGAGAATTTAATTGGCCATTGTAATTGGAGTAAGATGATATCTCACTGTGGTTTTCTTGATTATGAGAGGTGTTGAGCATTTTTTAAGGCTTTTGTCTTTTAAAAATGCCTGTTCCTGGTTATTTGCCCACTTTTTGATGGGGCTGTTTGTTTTTTTCTTGCTGAGTTGTTTGAATTCCTTGTAGATGTTGGATATTTTGTCCTTTGCTAGATGCATAACTTGTAAATATTTTCTCCTATTCTGTAGGTTGTCTGTTGACTCTTTTAATTATTTTGCTGTGCAGAGCTCTTTAGTCTCATTCATTGATTTTTGTTTTTCTTACATTTGCTTTTGGGGTTTTAGTCATAAATTCTTTGCTTAGGCCAGTGTCCAGAAGAGTTTTTCCTAGGTTTTATTCTAGGACTTTTATTGTTTCAGGACTCACATTTAAGTCTTTAATCTACCTTGAGCTACTTTTTGTATATGGTGACAGACAAGAATCTAGTGTCATTCTTTCCCAGCACCATGTATTGGATAGTAGGTACTTTTCCCAGGGCATGTTTTTATCTGCTTTGCTGAAGGTCAGTTGTTTGTAGGTGTATGGTTTTATTTCTGGATTCTCTATTCTGTTCCATTGATTTGTGTGTCTACTTTTATGCCCATACCATGCTATAATTTGAAGTCTGGTAATGTGATGACTTTAATTTTGTTCTTTTTGTTTAGAATTTCTTTGGTTATTTGGGCTCATTTTTGATGCTATATGAATTTTAGAATTTTTTTTTCTAATTCTGTGAAAAATGGTGTTGACATTTTGATAGGATTCACGCTGTGCCTGTAGATTGCTTCAGAAAGTATGGCCATTTGAATGATATTGATTCTTCCAATCCATGAGAATGAAATGTTTTTCCATTTGTCTGTGTCATCTGTGATTTTTTTCATCAGTGTTTTGTAGTTCTCCTTGTAGAGATGTTTCATCTCCTCAGTTAAATTTGTTCCTAGGTACTTAATTTATTTATTCCAGCTATTGCAAATGGGATTGAGTTCTTGATTTGGCTCTCAGCTTGGTCATTTTTGGCCTATATAAATGCTGTTGATCTCTGTACATTGATTTTATAACTTGAGACTTTTCTGAGTTAACATATCAAATCTAAGAATCTTTTGGAGAAGTCCTTAGGATTTGCCAGATACGAGATCATGTTATCAGCAGGGATAATTTAACTTCCCCTTTTCCAGTTTAGATCCCTTTTCTTTCTCTTGTCTGATTGCCCTGGATAGAAAGTCCAGTACTAAGTTGAATAAAAGTAGAGGAAATTGGCACCCTTTTTTCCCCCATTTCTTTCAGAACTGGAGAATGCTTTCAACTTTCCCCCATTCAGAATGATATTGGCTGTGAGCTTGTCATATATAGCTTTTATTATTTTTTAGGCATGTTTCTTCCATACTGAGTTTTTTGAGGGTGTTTATCATGAAGGATGATGTATTTTATCAAATGCTTTTTTTGCATTTAGTAAGATGAACATATGGTTTTGGTTTTAATTTTGTTTATGTGACAAATCACATTTATTGACTTGTATATGTTGAAACACCTTTGCATTCCTGGGATAAAACCCATGTGATTGTGGTGAATTATCCTTTTCATATGCTGTTTAATTTGGTTCGCTAGTATTTTGCTGAGGATTTTTATGTCTATGTTTATCAGAGATATTGGTCTATAGTTCACTTTGTTTGCTGTATCTTTTCCCAGGTTTGGTATCAGGATCAAGGAGAATTTCCTCCTTGATCTTTTGGAACAGTTTTAGTAGGATTAATATTAATTCTTCTTTGTATGTCTGGCAGAGTTTTGTTGTGAATCCTATCTGGTCCTGAGCCTTTTTTAGGAGGAGAGGATTTTTACTCATTACTGGTCTAATTGGAATTTCTGGTTTTTCCTGGTTTAATCTGAAGAAGTTGAGTATTTTTAGAAA